CCCGGCATAAAATCGTATTCAACTTTTGGGTACTTCACATAGCTCGACCTTCTATTAGTGACACGAGAAAGAGAGACCGCGATTCGCGCTGTAAGAAACTTTTGGGCGCCCAAAGTCGACTACCCCTCGAAGCGCGCCGCGCAAAAGGTGGTTTATTTCACCCCTAGGAAAAAAAACAAAATTCGGCCACGCAGGAGTTGTGCGCGTTGACAAGATCTTACCGACGACACCAATTTGAAAACAATCGGAGAAAAACTGTAGAAGAAGATAGATAAAAACTGAAAAATCTCCAGGTTAGTATAATACGCTCGGGGATGGCGTCCAGATGTCGTCGACTCCAAATCTGGTAGCCCCATCCCTAACGTTCTTAATTACACGGCCCCGATAGTTACATGTACACTCCTTGTCTTTTTACAAGCGTTTTTCTACGGGCGCGCATTTACTGCCAGCCAGCCAGCCAGCCAAAGTGAGATTAAAAGCTACTTTTTACAAAAAAAATTTTTGCAAAAATGCGCTAAAAAGGTGATACGCAAATTCCTGATCTCAGGTCGTAATCCGGGTACGGGCATCTCTATGTCTCTGATTGTCGTAGGGAACAACACTCGTGCCTCATCCTCGTCATCGTCTCGATATGAAACTACAATCCCTTCCGTTTCAGGGAGGGGAGGGGGGACGTCGTCAGTAGAAGTCGATTGACTAATCTGTGGCGTTGTAGCCCTTTTGTGCTGCGCTGAACCACTAGTACTAGGTTCCATACCACCAGTTAACCGCAATGGTGTGTCGTATAGCAACGCTGGCATCAACCTCTCGTCATTTGATTGTCTGGTTAGGTTGTCATTAAAAAATTGCCTGCGTAATCACTTCACTATTCACTGGCTATTAATAAAGTAATTAATATGGTCTTTATCAAAATAAATATCCAGCAATAAAGAGAAGCACACACATATTGGTGAAGGAACATTTTTGTTTACCTAAAATCACAGCTTTTAATATTACCACCGTTCTTTGTTCCCGGAATTTTTTGTATTTTTTCGAGTAAAAACTCATTTTGAATTATTGTTTCTTGTGTGTTTCTACCCGTCACGCCAATTTTCAATTTCATTTGAGGAAATTATATTATCTCAGTGCCCGTTTTTTGGTAATTTTGACCAAAACCTTTTTCGACGATCGGTAACATTCATTAAGCGCATGGACAGTTTTCCCACAAATGAAACATACATGTGCATTATTTGGCTCCTGTCCATTCAAACAGAGTAGACATTGATTGGATTCAATTTGTAATCCAGGGCAAATCACTTAATTCTTGCAAGAGTTTGCGGTATGTTGCCTTAGTCTTGTTGGGTAGTAGAGCGTAAACCACAGGCACTGTGCCTCCATAGGCTTCCACATGTATGGTGTATAATTGGTGAAATAAATTCGGGACAACAGAAAATGTTCCATCGGCGTACCACTTGTCACTTCTGGCCAAAATATTAAGATTTGGCGTAGTTGAAAAAATTAGCATTCTACCAGGTAACAAAGTTTGTTCCGAATCGTATCGAAGGAATGGATGATCTTCTCCATTATTTGTAACTTCTTGATACTCCTGAGGAATCACCAAATCGGCACGTTGCTGGAATAGGAGGAATTCCAGCTTCATTACGCACTCGACGAACGAATCGTACAATGGCATCTTTTCGGGGTAATCGACACAATAAATACATTATCGTGAATTTTCTCCAAACATATTGCCATTATTTGTTGTGGGGTTTTTTCGGTATTAGTGGCCCTCTGTTTCATGTTCTGAATGACACTTAACGTTTCCGGTCTTATTGCATCAGCAGCACGATTATGTTGAGTGATGACACGACTGACAATGGGAGCATCTCCTAAATAAAAAATAAATAGCAATGATAGGTACTAACCTAATAATTTTTTTTTGCATAGTGATCAAGTTACCGAACTTTTTTTGTCAAAAAATCATATGAAAGGGTTACTTTTTTCGTGATTTTTACTATGCTTTTGTACGGCGTTTAGGTCCATCTATGAACAATAGGATCAATATTTTAGTAACAGTAAATCGAGAATGGCAATGATATTATTCAATTATTAGTTATTAAATCACTATGCAAAGAATTTCGTGTACAACACGTTTTGAAAGTGTCTTTTTTTCACTTATTTGATTGATTTAAATCCATGCAGATAAAAACCAAGTGCCAAATTCTTAATAGAACAGCTCCGTACTCAAACCAAAAAGCGCGGTTTACCCGCTTTTGTTTGTGTTTATTACTATCTAATACTTATTACTCTCTAAGGTCAAGCTGTACCCAAAAAAAGATCTTTGAAATAATTTAATAGAATTTTTTTTTCAAAAATCTGACCCGTTGTTTTTTGTTGAGCCGTTTTCTCGGGAAGTTGAAAATACGTGGGTATACGTACCATACGTAACATTTGATCAATTTTGCGATGTCCAAAAAAAGGTGAATGCAATAGCAATAGCTCAAGCTAGGAGGTTCACTAAGTTCACTTTCAAAACTAGTTGTGCAAATAACTATTATATTATACTAGATATATCAATTTACCTGTTGTCCAGACAAGACCTTTGCATTTTCCCCTTCGTTCGCATACCCATATAGAATTTTCCTCGTTAGCAGTTTTTTTAGAAAAAACACACAAAATTATCTTCGCACACAAACTTTTTACCACCTCTTTTGGAATTCACGAAAGCCATTACGCAATGTTATCGTTAAACGCTCGGTACAAAAACCTTTGACGTACTAAGTTTTATATCAAACCTAATTCCCTTTTATACCGATGGTTTATAATTATAATAATGTTATAAATTAATTAATAACAATACAAATAATTAATTGTAATAAAATTATTGTATTAATCATTTTGCATTTTTGTAATAAGGAATTGAAGGTTAAGCTATTAGAGTTCTTAGAAATTAAATAAAATTCCCTTAATGTAACTTACTTTATAAATTGTCTCGTAAGTACCTAACATAAATTTGTTGAATATCTTAATCTTCTAATTACACTAATTGTATTTACATCAAGGTCTGTAAATTAATGTCATATTTGAAGACACAAGTGTATAAAGGGTCTATGTAACATTTAGAAGATATTGAGAAAAACAAATTTTAGTTTGATTTCTTGGAACTTTTTTGTTATAATAAATAAAAAAACGAAGCTTGTAAGAATATATTCCTTTAATTTAGACAATTTTTTTATAATGTATAAAATTTTACAGGGAAGTGGTAAATTAGAAATATGTGCACTTAGACCCTTTATCATCCAGCAAACACAACGAAAATTTTAACTTAAGTGCATAAAGGGTCTAAATACAAAAAAAAGTAAAACAGTAACTTTTAAAAGGTTTTCATCGCCTAAATAAAGAACAAAAGAACAAAGTAAAACTAAAAACAAAATGATAGGTAATTAATTTACTATTTACTTTGTATATACAAGGTCAATACAAAATCATTTTTACACAGTCTTTCTTCGATTGGTCTGTTCTTCCTCCACATTCTCTTGCCAGAGCTTTGTATACAAATGACGAAAGGGTTCGTCTATATATTGTAGCTGCTGTTTTAGATTGTTAATTTTTTCATCTGACAACTTATTCTTTTTGTTTTGTATTGGCATGATAGAATAGTCTTTAACATTGTTTGTCTGCTGACCTTTATACTTTGTGGTATTAACTTGAAGAAATGGGGTATAAGGATCAAGAGAGTCTTTGTAAAAATATTCTCCGTATTTTTCGACACGTATCCATTTTATATTATCCCTCAAGCAGACTTTTTCGTTTGCGGAGTTCTTTTTTCTATTGAATAGGTTCAGCTTCTTGGGAATTTCATTTAAATCTTTGAAATGATCATTCATGTTTATAACTTCACTGTTCTTTTTGCTTGCTGACTTTATTATGTCTCTATAATGATCTGCAGTAAAAATCTTTTCGTGTTTTCTCATTTGCTTTTCAATTCTTCCGAAATCCCTATCGGAATCTAAAAATGAATGTCCAACTTCGGGGAATTTGTGATCTATGACTTTTACGTAGCCTTTTCAGATTAGGTATTGATACAAACAAATAATATTAAAATTTTTATTTTGCCCCGAACAAGAATCTTACCAAATAACTAAATGGTTCAATTTTTCCTTGGCACTAAGCAGTTGAACAAATGTATGTAGTGAGCTTCCAATTTCTAAGCTGCCTTTTGTCGCCACATCTTCTGTCCATGTAAAAAAATATGATTTGTCACCATCGGTTGATATAGTATGGATTCCAAAGTTATATAACCACATTTGCCTTAAGTAAAATGCCTTTGATGTTGTAAGTTTGGGCAACGGCATTGTTTGTTGTAGATCCATAGTTAGGTAGATCACATCTTTATTATCTCTTGCATATTGCCTATCCACTTTTTGTTGCTCAAAAGCAAAGTTAAATTTGTGTGTATGTTCTTCATTATTAAGGCCCGAGTCGCAGGTACTGCAGGTGTCGCTTTTGGGAGTCGAAAAAGATAAATTGAATTCCGTTGAAAAGATATGCACATAAAAACTTTTTTTTATCAATAATGTGTTGCTCAATTTGTTTTCTTGCACATACTCCTTATAAAGCTCATACATTTTGGACATGTTTAAAAGTGGCGATAAATACATTTTGTTGGCGTTTTTGTTTCGGGAATAATGGAATTGTTCCGCCGGAAAGGAGTTTATGTGTTTTTTAATAACATCAACGACTTCATCGGGTATTTTGTTTGGTCTAGAATCATGGTGGCCTCTTTTATCTGGGGATGGAGCTGTTACTCCAGAGTTTAACTGGTTCTGCAACAATTGTACTTTTTTATGAGAAATTTGATATAGAGACTGGAAGGCTGTTTTGCAGACAGTAACTACATTTTTATTGCATGATACTCTATATGAAAATGTGGAAGACTTGTCGCTTAACCTATCCTTGCGATGTCTTAACTGGTTCGATATGAATTGATTTGAATAGAAGCACATTTTTTGAATTTTGATCTAACTTGTAAAATTTTCTGAATATTTGTTCTCTGTCATTCTGACTGAATTTCTCATTGCATCTCTTTTTGCATGTGTGCTTGCATAATAATCCCAATTCCGGTTTTTTTCTGCCATTTCTTTTTTGGATTTCTGTGAAATGTATGGTTTCCCTTGTTGCCTGGCTAATGCGGAGACATTTCTTGTCCATGTCTCTGGGCGACGTTTTCTTTTTCTTGATATTTTTTCTGGCAAATTGAAAACTTTTTTCTTACCAATCACTTTTGCATCAGAAGTTGTAGCCTGTAAATCACGGAGTACTTCAGTTGAAAGTCCTGAAACGTCTTTCTCTTGAGAAATAAAGTCGTCCTCGGCGGTAATGTGTCTACTTATTGAACTCCTTGGAGCCAAATTTTCTACTTCAGAATTGTCATCAGAATCATGCGAAGAATCGTTATCGGAACTGGGGTTATATTCGTCCGATAAACTTTCGGAAGAAAACGGGTCTTCAGCATCACAATACGCTAAAAGAACCTTATATATAAAATATTCGACTAATTTTTATTTATTCTTTTACCATCTAAATAATGTTCCTCGTCTGGCTCAGGTGTCTTTTCTCTTTCTAAATATCTTGCTCGTTCTTGTTCTATCTTCAAACTTTCATCTTTGTGCAGCTGCTCCTCTTCCGATCCATGTTGATTTTCACCTATAATACAAATTTTAAACCAAAAACTACTGAATTTTAAACCTAACCTAAGATTTACTGGCAAATTTCAAATTAGTTTTGTATATTTTACTTACCTTCGTATTTCTTTAAGCCTAGTTGTACTAAATATCTACTCCTTGCCGACATCTTTCATTACATGGGTAGGTACCGATTGTTCTCACTAAAATTAGTTTTGTAACGCTACACTAGTTGTATTCACAAATCACATGTAGTTGTATTACCTAACCTTACCTTTAGGGTCTATGTGTAATTTAACATCCGTGTAGAGCGCATAAAGGATCTAATCTAAGTAACAGTTTTTTCAAGATATTGTGTTGCATAAAGGGTCTATGTTACACTTCCCGTACATAGACCCTTCATGCACTTTAAAAATGAAAATTCAGTGTACATAGAACCTTTATCAACTACTAACTTTGTCAATATGAATCAAAAGCTGATTTTACCACGACGGACAAAATTGTATACCCCAAGAGCTCTCAAAAAGCAAAAAAAACCATTTCCATAAAAAATGTCACTTAGACCCGTTATGCACTTGTGTTTTCATTTGATAATGCCTCAATCGGTGAAACTAAATGTTTATTTTTTTAGAAAACTGTTAAAGTGGAATTGCGAAAACTTGTAAATGTTCTTACTTACTTAAAATGTTTCACATAATAAAGCCGCAACTAAAACACGTTGTATATTTTCGGGGCGAATGGTACCGGGGGCGAAACGTGTGGGGGCGAAACGTGTAGGGGCGAAACGTGGGGGGCGAAATGTCCTAGAAGCGCATCTACAATAATAAGAACCAGACATGCTTCTTCATCGTGTAACTTACCGATACCTTCCGGAATCATCTATACATTTTGTGTTTATTGTATTTCCTGTTTGTATCACCAAAGCAACACCGATTGTCAGCCGTTCGTCACACCATCTATTAGGATAGGAAAGCTGTAAATGAAGTTAATTTAATAAAATGGGAGAGCCCAAATACAATTAACGGTGAGGTGACCATTATTAATGGGACACCCTGTACAAGAAAATAAAAATTTTAAAAATAAACTAATATGTGCTACCTCAGTATCACTTATGTCCACATTGAATATCAATGCGTCACCAACAAGTTGTGGAACAACGTCTGTAGCAAGTCTGATATAACGTTGCATTACAGTAGCAGTGGCGGAGAAATCCACTGCAACTTATTATTAAAATATAAAACAATTTTTGTACAACTTTTCCGATTTCTGGCGACATTTCATCCTCGACTTAAAGAGTTCTGGCAATACTTTTTCCTTGTTTTCTACAGTGAAAAGTTATAATTCCACGACATTAAATTTCAGAACTACACCTAATGATATATTCATTCAAAATTAACACGTTTGACCGCACGGCTACGCTTTCCTCCCCGGAAACGACTTCTGGTAGCAGCGCTACGCGAGTCTCTGTTAGTTTCGTAGCCGGCTCTTAAACTATTACTACTACGTTAAATACGTCATAACTTGTGACGTCGACATGAAAACGAAACTTAATAATATTAAATGACACATTTAATAATTTAAGCTTTGGTCGTTATGAAATTTATAGTACATTAATCATGCAATACCTACTACGAATATAGTAGGTACGTTTGGCTATATCGTATAGATCTGTTTGAATAATGAATGAAATTGAAAAGCTGTGATGGCCTTACATCAAAGAAACAAAAAACTAAGTTCATAAATTATGTTCTGCGACAGACCGCTATCTTGCAGGTTGTTTGATAAATACGTTGTTGTATTCTCTTTCCCTATGCATATGAATCTTTAAGTTACAGAATAACAGACATCAAACATTTACTTTCTATTGAGCCCTAGGAATATGGCAAGTAGTACCACGCGGAATGAATAGTAAAACATTGGAATGGAATTTATTGTCGCTTCATAAAATACTTCCCGCTGGCTTTAAAAATGTCCAAGAAATTTACGCTTGCAGTAGACTAGAATTGTTACACAGTTCAAGTTAAACCTCTATCTTAAATTTGAAAGGAATTTATGAGATGTTCAATTTAATGACACATGGATATTAAAAGAACTTTTGAACAGATTTCCGATTCCCAGTACGTTTTGCACACATTTGATTTCCACTTTTGTTTATATTTCAAGTTCCTTAACAATTTTCCTAGTATATATTTGAAATCTTGCATAAGTCATTTTCTATACCAAACGGGGATAATACTACCCAGCTTGGAACCATTTTTTAAGAATCTAATGCAACTTTAAAACTCATGAAACTGAAACTAATAACTAAGGATAGGCATCTTACTGAAGACTAACTTGTGTAAGCTCCTGAAATCATTTTATACCATCTCCAAACTTTCGCAAATATTTCATTTTTCTCCAGATCGACTCTCGCTGGTTTCGATACTACAATTAATATATCATTAATACTAATTTATCTTTGCCTTTTCAATGTACAATTTGCACGTGAGAAATTCGACGAGGTAGTAAATTATCCCGTTAACAACAGTATATACTCACAATTACGAGTAAACCGACATTGCGAAATAGTAAATTAAAAGGGTTGCGCTGAATAATTCGTTTTACGTAATAGTACGACAATTGTGCCCTTAACATTTATTGTCAATTAATTATGTGTTGGTCAACCACGTAACCTTATCTTAAAACTAAAGGGTTTGTGTTACGTTATATACAAGGGTACATTTCACTCGGTAAGCCGCTAGCTGATTGATTACATTTTAAACTAAGCTCTTCCCGTCTACAGCATGCACACCTCATGTTCGCAGTTCATAACTTCCACCAAAATCAATTAAAAAATGCCCTTTTCCGTTGTCTCTCATATTTAATATTTCAATGGAGCGTGCACTTTAATATTGACCTTAAGGAAACATTTTAAGCGGCGTTCTAAATGTAGTAGTACTGAGAAAAAAGGGCAGCGAAATGTAATGATACTCAGCAGAACTCTTCAAATGGACGGCATTGAAATGGCTAGCGATACACTAAAACGTGAAGTTTTACCAGTTCTGAAAAATGATGGTGTAGCTCAAGTTGTTAAATATGACGAATTAATCATAGCTTACGGCAATAAGCTTTGTATAAAATACAGGGCGCATAAGCATCATCAATATATGATCAGACAGCGTATGAGACAAGCTGCTAGGTTTCTACTGAAAATTAAAGAAATACGTGACGATGTACACGATCTTGCTGCTTGCTTTCACCCTAAGTATGTGGATGACAGTATTGCGGCAATCAATAAAATGGCTAACATTTCGGACAATGCGGATACTTACAGCGCCCCCACCACTGCCACTACTGTAGGTACATTACTAAAAGACATAGGGGACACATTAAAAATACAGTGTATGAAGAAGGACGAGGAAGAGAGGATTAAGCAAATTGATAGATTTTTAATTTTATTGGTAGACGAATTAAAAATCAAAGTTAATAGAACAGCATTAGAAGACCAAAAAGACCGTACCCGGAAGAAAAAAGTTATTTTACCCAGTAAGTCAGATATACAACTCCTTCATAAGTATTTGACAGTTAACAGGAGGAAAATGTTTCAAAGCTTAAAAAAAGAATTCTCATTTGACTGTTGGAAAAAGTTAGCAGGCTTTGTTTTAATAAGCGTTCAGCTTTTCAATCGAAGAAGGGCCGGAGAATTGGAGAGGGTGCGTATTTGCGATTTTGAGAGTTACCAAACCCTATCTGCTGAAAACAATGATTTCTTCCTTACATTAAATCAGGAATCCAAACAGACCGCCGAACAGTATGTACGTTTTGAAATAAGAGGAAAATTGGGTCGTGGGGTGCCTGTCCTCTTACATACAGATATTGTAAAGTGCATTGAATTAATACTTCATCACAGAAGTAGGGCAGGCGTTGATGTAAAAAACCCGTTTGTTTTTGGCATTCCAAATCGAAGTGATAGTTATCACTATTTACGTGCCACCGAGCTATTAAGGAAGTTCGCAGTTGAATGTGGCGCAGAGAAACCGACAACACTTCGTGGTACCGCGCTACGCAAACATTTTGCTACAACATGTGTTGCTCTTGAGCTCACCGATAGTGAAGTCTCCGATGTTGCAAATTTTATGGGACATCACGAAAAAATTCACCACAAGCATTACCGGCTGTCTATACCCGCTAATGATATTCTTAATATGTCCAAACTTTTAGAGAAGGTTATGGGGAATGATCCAAATGAAAGTGAAGAAAGCGAAAATGAAGAAAACGATGATCCACAAACTAAAAATATGTCAAAATCAGGTAAAGTATAATCGTTTTTTTGTAAATCGTGTCGAACTATAAAAATGTACACTTTAATGAATTTGTTCGCTTTTATTTCATTGTATACAGTAAATGGATTTGTAGTACCTAAATTATAAACACTTTTGGGTTCCAGGAGAGTTCGATCCATTTGAGAACGAGGGTGAGGATCATACTAATAATGCTACACCACCATTTGCAAAAGCGGAGCACGTACGGAATAAGGGTAAAGCAATTGCAGATCGATAAAGTGTAATAGAATTTTCAATCGGTTTTACCTGTAGAATAGTGTTCATTACGTACATGCGTTTGAAGCACATTTATTCAACATTTCTGTGGTTGGGACAAGTTTGTTCTACCATAGATTCCCATGATGCGGCGCGAAAAAACGAGCATCTTGAGCCTATACAGAGTGGCCCACTGAAAACAGTCAATGCAAATTTTGACCATTTCTCATCAACTTTGCGAGAAATGCTCGAACACTTCAATTTTAGATTTAAGGGGGACCTCTAAATTTATTAATATTATGTAGGTGAGTTCAACCCTAACATGAGGGTGAATTGCACCCCAAAATTTTTAAATAGAACGGGGTGTTAAACAGTGGACAGTTCGAAAGGCCTTTGAATTCTTTTTTCAACAGTGTTTTCATTTTTCAAATCGGATCATTAATTGCGAAGTAAATCACATTTTAACTGTTATCCAAGAATGCACTGGAATAATTGAACATTTGGTAACAATAGCAACTTAATTAAGTGATGCTTTACTTTTCTTGTACTTTTGAAGAATTCAAAGGCCTGTCGAACTGTCCACTGTTTGACACCCCGTTCTATTTAAAATTTTTGGGGTGCAATTCACCCTCATGTTAGGGTTGAATTCACCTAAATAATTTTAATAAATTTAGAGGTCCCCCTTAAATCTAAAATTGACGTGTTCGAGCATTTCTCGCAAAGTTGATGAGAAATGGTCAAAACTTGCATTGACTGTTTTCAGTGGACAACTCTGTATAGAGTGTGATCCATTAAGTGTGCGACAAATGGGAATTTTTTATTAGTTGCACAGTCAAAATTTAAAGTTAAAAGTTGGTGTATGTTCGATAATCATTTATATGCGATTGGAAGGGTTTCAAGCAAGGACGTTAAAAATACTGGACACGGCATTGTGCGATTTGTTGTGAAGCCAACATCCCACGCATTTTTATGTAGGCGCGGATGTGAAGGAGGAATGACAATAAGGACGATAATTGAACGTGTCACAAGTGGAAATCATGACCCAAGCTGAGGAAAACAATGCGTGGGATGTTGGCTTCACAACAAATCTGAACAATGCCGTATCCAGTATTTTTAACGTCCTCGGTTTCAAGTCAAATAGTAGGTATACATGGCAGGCTCAAAAATAAAGTACCCATAACTTCTAAGAATATAGCAAAAGCTTACTGAAGAGAGTTCAATTTAAGAGTCTTCATATGGAAATCATTATTAGTAAAGTATTTGTTTGGCTTAAAATATATTTGCGAGATAACAGAGTGCTATTTAATATTGTTGCAACAAACATGAATTTGACTGGTACCTCAAAAAATAAAAATCAATGTACAAAAAGTGAAATAAAACCAATAAACCACAAAAATATATTAAAAATTCGAACACGTGTTAACAGCAAAGCTGTCATCATCAGCGGCTGGTTTTTGTTTTACTTTTTGCGAGTTCAATGGCCACAGTTGTTCCAGTGCTTCCAAAAATCTATGTAAATTTGACAAATACGGTTCAATTTTAGAATAGTTATTCAAGACTAATTGGGCTGTGGCTAATTTGAGTACGTATTGAATCAGAATAATTAAAATGTGTTATTCGGAGTTATGTAAGCAAAGCTTTTGCAGAAAAGGGTGCAAATCTGAATAGGCCATGACATTGTATTTAACCATAACTCTTAATTCTTATACGATCAAACGAACTCACCTGTGATGAAGTTCGATCGTAATTATATGAGGTCTCGTGGAGGTAAATAATATATGTAGTTTCCCCATCCCGTACCGAATAGCCACGAAATTTGAAAGTTTAAAACAGGTAGTCTCGTTCATTGTCGGAGGTGTCGGTTACTTGTTTGTTCATATTTTGAGAGTTAGTGGAGTTGGCCTAAGGGTATATGAAGCTATATTAGCTTCCTGGGTTTAGGGTGGGTGTTATTTACCTCCACGAGACCTCATATAATTACGATCGAACTTCATCACAGGTGAGTTCGTTTGATCGTATAATTATATATCGGTCTCGTTTCGGTAAATAATATATGTAGATGTTTAGAGATTAACTAGGGCAACTTCACTAAAGTAGATAACTTTTAATTCATACAATATTACTATATAATATTTTATCATAGGGAAATGCATCTTTAGCTATTATAAATATTTTGAAAATATCCTTAGAGTAGTTTGATTATGAGGTTAATATTGTCCGTGCAAATGCATATGGATCTCGTATTGGCCTGTTGTAAAAATTCGCGAATGTTCTTGACGTGTTGGACCAACCTGCTGCTGAACGTATTATATCCAAAGGTAGCCCTTTGCGATTTGCTAGTGACGTTGAAGCATGTCTAGTGCTATGAGCGGTGTATACTGTAGAGTCGATTCCTGCCCTTCCCATTGTCTTCTTTATCCATCTGCTTATAGTTTGTGACGATGCATCCTTATACGGTTTTTTGAATGTGATTAGTAATTTTTTTACATTTGTCTGGGTGGCGAATTTCTCCTGTTTTTTCAATATATAGCAAAACTGTGCTGGCTATGCACAGATTTGGGTTTTCGTTGTAAAATGGAAGTGATAATGTAGGTTGTACCATGTTTCTCCTTGTAGTTTTTATCCTTTTAGGAATTTTGATTTCTAATCCAGTGGAGGTTGAGCAAATATTGTTGATTTCGATCAATGACAGTGTTTGAGTTCGCTGTCCAGTAGTGAGTGCCAGAAGTGTAGCTAATTTGTAAGTTAGTTGTTCTATTGTAGTCTCTGCATTGTTTAGTGAATTAAGGTACTTTAAAAGAATTGTTGGATCCCATGTATTTTCGTACTTTGGCTTATCTGGTCTCAAATGTTGTACGCCTTTGAAAAAACGTTTAATCCTGACATCGTTGGTAAGGTCTGATCCTAAAAGTTGTCCAATAGCGGAGCGGTATGTGTTTAAGGTACCGTATGATGCCCCTTTGTTGTAGCAGCTAGCTAAGAAGTCTAGTATGTTGGGTACAGATGCATAAAAAATGTTGATGTTCTTTGTATTACAGAAAATCCACCAGTTCTTTAGTCCTGAATTATATTGTTTGATAGTGCTGGACGTTATGGATGATAAGCAAATATTTAATGCTTCCTCGGGGATGTTTTCTATCTTTAATGCTTGTTGGATAAGTGTCCTGCAACCAGGGTAAGGTGAGGCCAAAGTGGATGCGGATTCTGTCTGTCAACAGAGAGAAGTAAGTTATAATGAGGTTTGAAGTAAATTGGAAGTTTGCTTAGCAGTGATGTAAATAAAGGGTACCAAGGCTGAGTGGGCCAGTGGGGTACAACTAAAATTCCTTCTGCATCATCATTTATAATTTTTTGTAAAACGCGTGGAATCAGAGAAAAAGGAGGAAAAGCATAAAATCGTAGCCCTTTCCAGGATATTGTAAAAGCATCTACACACCATGCATCTGGATCAGTGCGCCATGAAATAAAAGTTGTGCATTTATTATTTAATCTGCTGGCAAAAAGATCTATGTCTGGGTGTCCAAATCTGAGTGTTATAAGATTGTATTCATTTGAGTTTAATTCCCATTCTGTGTCTTGATGCAATTGTCGAGATTCCTTATCAGCTTCTACATTTTCTGAAGAGCTTATGTATGATGCCAATATAAAAAGCTCTCTACTTTCACACCACTGCCATAATTCACGACACAGTGTGTTCAATTTTTCATGTTGAATGCCTCCCATTCGATTGATATAGGAGATGGCTGTAGTATTATCAATGCGAAGCAAAATGTTGCAGCGTGTTAAGTTTTTTGCAAAACATTTAAGTCCAAAGAATGCTGCTTGTAATTCCAAAAAATTAATGTGCTTTTCTTTTTCATTTGCTGACCAGAATCCGTGTGATTTATTACTATTGCAGTAAACTCCCCAGCCTGATTGAGAAGCATCTGAATAAATTTCTAAAGCAAATTTATCTACCCCGATATGATTAGTTGCATTTAAAATAGCGTTTTCCCACCAAACGAGGTCTTCGCTTAATGAAGGAGGTAGTCTTAAATGTTTCTCATAGTTTCCCCCATTCTTCTTTAGTGCTAAATACTTGTGTCTTTCTAAACGTTTAGTATATAACCAACCGTATCTAACTGCTGGACACAAGGCAGTGAGTTTCCCTAACAAGTGTGCAAAATCGCGAATTTTGCAAGTTTTTACTTTTAAGAAGTGGTTGATTAGTTTGAACAGGTGTGGTTTCTTGTCTTGGGGGATTGAAATTAATAATTTGGTTGTATCATACAGAAATCCCAGGTATCGACAGTTTTGGTTAGGAGTTAATTTGCTCTTTTCATAATTAATTAAGAAACCTAGCTTTTCTAACGTTTGAATAGTAAATTCTACGTTTTTCTTACAATTTTCTACGGAATTCCCCAAAAGAAGAAGGTCGTCTAAGTAAATTATAGAAATAAAGTTGTGATTCCGTAAGTAAGCAACTACAGGTTTCATAAGTTTTAGTAAAAATTAAAGGTGCACAATTTAGCCCAAAAGGCATGCAATTATATTCGAACAACATCCCATTAAATTTAAATCGTAGATATTTTTTATATTTTTTGTTGATTGGTACTAAAAGGTAAGCATTTTTAAGATCCAAAGTTGCCATGTAAGCATTTTTGTACAATAGATTAGCAACAGTTTTCTGATCTTCAAGCTTAAAATGATGTGTTTCAATATTTTTGTTTAATATTTTTAAGTTTAGAATAAGTCTATGCGAACCATCTGGTTTGGTCCTGAGAAAAATGTTCGATATGTGCTGACCTACACAGGGCTTCACTCTGCTAATTGCCCCAGATGCTAATAATTCAGAAACACCCTTGTGTAGCAACACTGTCTCTTTGTGAGACCATTCTGGTGTTGAAGGTTGACAGAGTTGGAACTGTTTCTCAATGAAAGGAAGTTTCACACCTTTGATCCATGATAAGATTTTTACATTGTTGGTAAGTGCCTGCCATTCCGGAAGGAAATATTTCAGTCGGCCTGCTGATTTACTAACCT